AATGTGCAAGATCAAGCATTTTAAGATGTGAAAAGACACAGCACTAACACTGAGATAGCTGCTTCACGTCTGAGGGGGAATAAGGAGCATCTCATCCCATTTGTGGCCTGGTGGTTTCTTCCCTCCAGGCTCAGGAATTAACCCCTAGGCTCCTTGGTACTCTGGAACTCAGCCTCTTTTTCAAGTGTTCTTTTTACATTTGTGGAAGTTTCTATCAAATACAGAATTAATTAAAAGGCATGGCAAAAACATATAAAAAACATCTGAGAAGATACTTTTTTTAAAAAAGCTACTTATTCGGCTGGAGCTGCATGCGTGGTTTAGTAATCTTGGTTACATTGCCCTCTAGTGGTGAAATTAGGGAAGAAAGTGCAATAAACCTTTCCTTTCCGGTAGCCTTACTCAACAACATTCATTGCGCATCTATTGGATGCTTAGCACTGAGGTAGGCTCTGAGATGTTAAGACATAGTTCCTACTCTTGTTGATTTCTTGGTCTATCAGTAGAGGCATTTAACCACAGCATAGCAGGGAAAGGAACTACAGCAGAAGTATGTGCAAAGATCTGTGAGTACACAGAGGAGAAAGTCATCAGTTCTTCCTAAGTGAGTCTGCAAGGGCTTTTCAAGCACATTACACCTGAGCAGCACTTTGGGACATGCATAGGAGTTTTCCAGGGGGGAGGGGTGTGTGTGTGTTTTGCCTCATGAATGAGGGAGTAGCCTGAGTTAAGGAAGCTAGTCTTTTATTAAAGTGTACACGTATTCAGGTGACAGATAAGTGCCTTTCATGTGAGATTCAGACATGCTTAGCCTGATGTTATAATCCTGCTTCACCATATGTACCCACAAAACACTGCAGGAACTTACTATAGGTTGTGTATTAGAAAGGTAGGGAAAAACTAATCAAATAGGCATTTACATCATAGTCAAGATTTTGCTGTACCTTGATAATATATAACATTATATAAAATATATAATGTAATTTATGTAATACTTATAGAAACGATTGTTTCTTAATAATAATCAGATTACTGTTATAACACACACTATAGTTCTCATCTGCCCTTTCCTAGATGTATAATACTGATTTCATTTTATCCTTTTAAAAAATTCCTATGTTCCTTAATTTGTGGGGGAAAAAAAATCAGTTTGAAAAATACACTTAGCAGACTCCAGTGATTCGCCGACTTACTTGGTGAGTAAATATCTTTTCCTTGGCTGTGGAGAAAATGCAGCACTTTCCTGGCATCTGGGCATCCAGTCCACATTTGTGCAGAGTCTGGGCCATTCCTAGCTCTGCCCGCATTGTGCTACTTGCCTGGGCAATTTCTCCTGGTGTCCTCCCATCCCTGCCTTTTTCAGGTCTGTGGAATGGGGCAGAGGTGGAGGTGTAAACAGGATAATTTCCTGTGACCCAAGATTCTTTCCTTTTGCAAAAGCAGCATCCTGTAAGGAAGCAAACCTGGGTTCTGGAGGCAGACAGATGGGGATCAAATCCTGGCTCTGCCACTTACTAGCTGTTTGATATTAGCAAGTGTCTTGGTCTCTCTAAGTTCCAATTTTCTCATCAGTAAAATGGAGATATTAATATCTATCTCCAGGATTTCTGGAGAGATTAATAAGATTATATGGAATGTGCCTGGCCCAGAGAAAGTGATCAGTAAAGATCTATTCCCTTCCCAACTCCCTCATTCATTGTAACAAGCATCAGCTTTTCCGAACTTCCACTTAAATATGAGTACTATAGAACATTTTTATGTGTATTGTGTTTTGCAAAACTACCTAACAACCAGAAAGGGACTTACTCTTTGAATCTCAGTCTCACGTGTCTCATCTCATGGCTTCTCACCGAATCCTGTGAGGGAGGACATCTTAACATCTCTCCCCATCATTTACTGGTAAAGAAAATGCTGTGCTAAATAAAATGCTATGATTAAAACACTCAATCGCCACCCTTCAGAAGTCCCCAGTCAGGTGGGAGGAGGCAGATGAGTAAACCAGACACACAGTTCAGCTTACTAGGCGCCATGCTATAGGTGGAGGGTGCTAAAGGAGCGCGGAGGAAGAGCAGTTCATTCAAGCTGGGCCTTGGGGTGGAGTGGGTGGGTAAACTGAATCAGGAAGGATAAGTAAGTTTCTTTTGTGGAAAATGAGAGGAAGTATGCATGGGAGTTGGGGCCGGGGAAGTGGGAAGGTGAGGGAGAAGGAGGATGGAGGAGACTTTTCCAGAGAGAAGAAACATTGAGGCTTGAAGACAGTCCACATCTGTGATCAAATGAATCTTGCAGGTCATTATATTTTGGTCATTTATTTACGTGTATGGTGGGTGCAGTGGTGAGACATGAATGGGTTTTGTAGCCCAGGTAACTGAAGCTTCTTAGAAGAACTATTACCACTATCTTAAGTAACTTAGCCATGTTCTAGTTAAAGCTGAATCGAAATTATTAGTTAATTCAATAGTGTCTCTAATCCTGACCAGTGTAGCAATAATTGTTCATGGAGTCATGGTACCAACGCTATTTCATATGCACAGATGTTCCTGTGATGTATACTTCCTTGAAGAAATTCATACATTTTCTAGACTACAAAAACTGTCTTAAAAAGTGGGAAAGTTTCTTAGCTAACAATATGATTTATTTATTCATCCTGTCTTTGCCCATTCCATCCACGCAACCCAGCTACTCAGCAGATGTACTTATCTTGAATTCATTCCTGCCTTTGCTTAGCTGAAAAGGAAGCTCTCAAAAATCAGACTGCCTCATAGAATGGCGAGGTCGCAGAGCACACGCAGCAGCGTGACAAGCAGGCTTCCAGGCCACGGTGCTGATGGAGGTGTGCTGCGAGATACACAGCAGACTTTTTCTCTCTCAAACTCGAGCTTCTCTAGCCTCGATTTCTGGCATGAACAACCAAACATTTGTATTTTTAGAGTCCTTTTTTGGGGGTGAACGTTTGGTGTGTAGAACTTTTCCTCCAAAGATAATTTAAGCACTAAAAATGTACCAAATTATTTCAAATCATGGCAAGTTTCAAAATATGAGTGGGTGACTTAGGAAGGATCTATTCTCAAGAAATAACAGTGGTGTCAGTACAACCCAAAGGACTTGGAAAAGAATTTACATACTATACACACACACACACACACACACATACACACACACACACACACACTGTCACACATACCCCTTTCGTTCACAGAAATTGAAATCGATTTAACACATTGAGATTATGTTACTTGGGTTTCTTTTAAATGCCAAGGAATAAATTTACTTTGGCCTTAGTGGCAAACATTTCTAACCCACAGAAAAGAGGGCAGAGAGTTTGGGCTTAACAAATGTTGTAGCAGAATTACTATTGCAAATGCAACCCATCCCCAGTCCACTACCCGCTTCTCTGTCCTTCAGCTTTCCTTCATGGAACACCAAAATCAATAAGGCAATTAAGGTAGACGTTCAGGGTATATAGCAGTCATCTGGAGTGGTTTCAGAATATACATTTTCAAGGGTGAAATGAAACACCCCAAACAAAGTAACTGCACATTTGCACAAGTAATTGCTCATATTTGCTTGCATTCCTCATTCCTTTTAATTTCTCTTCCTACCTCCCAAGTTTTGAGAAAGAAATACAAGATGTGTTTTCTATGTACAAAATTCTCCCAGGTGGGCTGCTATAGTCCTTGGTAGCAGGTAAAGAGTAGACTTGAAGTGACTGCTCTATTTCTAAGTATTTCACAGAGTCCAAAGCAATACAAGAACTCAGTAGTTCATGCACTTACATGAGGGAAGTTAATCTACTGATACATACTAGTTTAACTTGAGGAATTTTCATTTCTAACAGGCAGGAGAAAGTATGTTATCTTTTAAAATTTGAGGATTTGTATCTCTTTGGCCTTGATTCCTAACACGTAATAGTAAAATAAAAATTATCCATAATCTCACAGCCTAATCATCGCTAACACACATCACACGTATGTCATTTATTTATGTATAACGTGTGTGTGTTCTATGTGTACGTGAGACATATGCCAAGTTATCCACATCGGGGGCAGGGGGCATGAAGAGGTCGTCACCAGGCCAAGGCTGCAAGTTTTCCAAGGTGCTACATGGCTGGGCATGTGGCTGGGGTAGAGCATCCCTGGATGTTCCCCATCCAAAAGTTCCTGCAGCTTTGCAGTAGGATCAAGAAGCAGCAAGTGGAAGCACACGAACTAGGGAGAGCTGCCTCTCCCTCCGCCATTGTCCCTCCAGTGTTCTGTGCTATAAGGCTTAACACTGTGCTTGCCACAAAAGAAGAATGCTTATAGGGCCCATCTACATTATCAAAGTGCAGGTAATAAAGAGTGTATTTGGGACTGCGTGGCAATAAATTGAAAACTGGCCAACCACCCAAGCAGAGGGAAGGGAGGAAACTTGCCTGGAAAGCCACTTCTAATGATTTGAGGTGGGGCCACTTCAAACAAAAGCAGCCCCCCATACTTTGGTTTCCCAGAGTGGAGTGGGTGAGTCTTTGTGAACTCTCAGCCCCTTGTCACCTATCTTGGGAAGTTCAATTTGGCTGAAGTGTCTCTCTCCCCTAACTCCCATTTGTTCAATTCCTTACCAAACATTCAAAAACTTTCTACAAGACCAAAAATGAACAGAAAATGACTGCAGTGGTTGTGATCTGAGGGGCTCAGGCAGGAGCCCCTTTCCCTCATAGGGTTGATCGGGCACCACTCTAGTCACAGTGGAGACCCTCAGAGCCACTTGGCCATCCTTCGCCTCCTGGTCAGTTGTTTATCAAGTTCCCCCAGCTGCTCTTTCCGGGCTTCCCTACTTCTGCATTTCCCAGACTCTTCACTCTCTCGACAGGTGACTTGGGCATCTATTTTATCAGGATTTCAGACCCCCTGATTTGAGCTCCTTAGATTTCTCTTCCCTCTGTCTCAAATGTTCTTTTTCTTTATATCTCTGAGGAACAAAAATACTTTTTGCAGAGCCTGCCACAGCCCTGCTGAGTGGATAGGATCTTGCCCTCTGCCTGTAGTTGATCACAACCTGACTCAAAGCCAGACCATTCATTCGCTAGAACTGGCCAGTCCACGTCTCCCTCTGAAAATTAAATAAGTACAATGATTGCAACTTATGCCTCTATACAGACTTGGACCACCAACTGCCATGGAGTTAGGGTTAGGACTGGAAGCCTGGGCCACGCGCTGGGGAAGCGGAGCAGGAGGAGGAGACAAAGCAAGTAAGTGGAGACCAGAAAAAGACACCGTGACCCCAAAGTACACAAGGTAGAAGGAATGGTGCCAAGTCACTCTAGTCCCTGTGACGCCATACCTCCAAACTTGGGGCCTGGAAAATTCCCCTGAATTCTGTCAATAACCCCCAATTTTTACTCATGCTAATTTTAAGGGGTGTCTGTTTCATGCTAACTTTCCATTTTGCCTCTTTCTAGGCCAAGGTTTCTTAGCCTTGGCACTACCGATATTCTGGGCAAGGTAATTTGTTATTGGGGGAGGGGTGGAGGCAAGCAGGTTGTCAGGTGCTTTGTAGTTTGTTTGGCAGCATCTCTGGCCTCTCCCCACTAGATGCCAGTAGTACCCCCTGTCATGACAATCAGAAATGTCTCCAGACAGTGCCAAATGTCCCCCGAGGGGTGAAGTCACCCCCAGTTGCAAATGCCTGTTCTAGGCCAGTCTCTGCTTAGGCTCTCAATGCTGGTATCTCTTGTCGGTCTTAAGACATGCCACATCCGTGCCTTTCCTTTGACTTATAAACTTTCTCCAATATCCCCTGTCTTTCCTTGGCCTGCTTTTTCTCCGCAGGTACTTCCTTCCTTCCCTTTAAGTTTGAACTGGACTTGCTGCCCTTTGCTTACAGTCCTTAACCTCAATCAGTCTGATTTCCACTGTAGAAACCTCTAAGACTTAAACTATTTTCCCAAAAGTTACCAATGTCCTCATTCTATATTAAATGCGATGTACTCATGGGGCTTTCCCTTTCTCCTGTCTCTGCCATTCCTGTCTATTCACTTTGCTCTTAGATTAAACTGAAACGAGGATGGCAGAGAAGCAAACACTTTGACATCTACACCTTGCAAATTTGTAGCTTCTTGGTATAGCAAAACGAACCCACAAAACAATAGGACAAGCACTAAAGGAAAATTTAATAAAATTCTAAATTGAATATAATTGAAGATCGAATAAAAGAAAAATGAGAGGACAAATGAACAAATATTACTTAAGCAATTATGACATGCTCTGCCCCATTTTTGATGGTATCGGGAATAGGGAAAAAAACATTTGCTTTTAAGAAGTTTAAA